TTTTAAATTACTATAAGAGAAGGGTAGATTAAAACCCAAAAAATAAAATGAAGGATAACTTAGTTAACTTAGTACTAAAATTAACATAAGAGGAAGGGAGATTAAACAGAAAAGTAAAATTTAAAATGGAATCTAAAATGGAGGATATATTTAATATAAGAGAAGGTGAGATAGAAACAGTAAATAAAAATAACTTAGTAAACTTAGTTTTAAATTAATCTAAGAGAAGGGGAGATTAAAACACAAAATAGAATGGTGGATAACTTAGTGAACTTAGTTCCAAAATTTACATAAGGGAAGAGGAGATTAAACAGAAAAGTAAGATGGTGAATAACTTAGTTAAATTAGTCCTAAAAATATATTCTATGCTAAAATTAATTGTATTAGACCTCATTTTACAAGTTATGTTAAGATTAAGATCTTACCAAAATATTGAGTAATGTAATAGATAAATAAATAATAACAGAAAAATAAAATGGAATTCTAATTTTACATCTTATGCAAAAATTTTTTTTTAAAGATACAAATAATAATTTAAAATGGAGGATATATTTAACATAAGAGAAGGGGAGATTGAAACAGAAAAGTAAAATAGTGTATAACTTAGAATTTAGTCTAAAAATACATTCTATACTAAATTTGATTATATTAGAAATTTAGGTCTTAAAGGATTTAAGCCTATATTAAAATTGATTATATTTGAAATTAGAGTCTATACTTAAATTGATTATATTAGAAATTAGGACTTAAAGGATTTAAGAAGGAACTTAGTCCTCATTTTTATCATATATGTATTAAAGTTATGTTAAGATTAAGGTCTTACAGAAATTTTGAGTAAATGTAGATATGTCTAATTCCATCTTATATATATTAAAAGATTGCAAAAATAATATTTGAAAATTACATCTGAAAGAGAAGGTGAATACAAAGTAACCTGGGTACTTTTACAGTACGTGGTAATCTGGATCTTGGTTATTCAGCTGGATTAATTTGTTTTAACCTTGTTAATAAAATTTATAACTCACATCATTTATAACCCACATCATGCTAAAACATATCAAAAATATAGAATAAAAATTGATACTTGTGCTTTGAGACAACAATCATCAACGAAAAGTTTAGGTTATCCAGTCGGCCTTAAAGGAGAATCATTATTCAATAGGTTTTTATATGGGGGCAACATGTAATAAAAAATAATACGGTTTGCTTAACCATCATTAATTTAATTTTTACCTTAGGTCTGTATGAATTCCCATTTAACTTTTAAATTATATCTAATGCCATTTTTAAAAATTGTCTTTATGAAATTTAGGCATTTTTAAGTTTTTTCAAAATGTTTTTCAAGATGATTATCTTCATAATAATTTTTTCATTTTTTAAAATAATCTATTTTTATTTTATCATTAAGAAATTTTGGATTTATAATTTAAAATCCTATACTCTTTATAAGCTTAAAAAATTTAAAAAAATATTGTCAATCCAAGAATTTCAAATCTATCAAAAATATTTTGAATTAACTGTTCCTTTTTGAATTAAAATAAATGTTGAAACTCACGCCTTAATAAAGAAATAATCATTAGTTCCCTGTTGATAATATAGAAATATTTAATTTGAAAAGAAATCACCAATTTCCAAAACAAAACTTATCTTATCTTATCTTATCTTATCTAGCACGTTGGTCATAAAATTCAATCAGGGACAGCTGGTGGATTGATGAAAAAAAAATAAATTAAATTAAATCGCTGTAAAGACTTACAAATTTACTAAATGAGGAAACATTTTAGTTATTTAATTCCAGAATAAAAGTAAGGGGAGACTGGGGAGCATGCAGCCTTATAAGTTAAACATCAATAAAATTAAAACTAGTTGATAATATTAAATAAATAATATCTCATTTTATTCCACTTATTTACATTTATGCTATAGCTAAAAAAATTTAAAAAAATTATACTTTTATAACAGTTCCTAAAAAAAAAATTAAAAAGAGGATGAGCACACCATGGAAAAGATTATTTTTTATGAGGCGCTTTTAAGTTGATAAATATTGATTTTTTTATATATAAAATAGAAATATATATTATTGCAACTACTTTATTGATAAAAAGAAGCCATAATTGAAAATAATTATTAAAAAATTGGTGAAATTTATTCACAATTTAACAAATAAAGAATTGATTAAAATTGCAAAAGAATCCATACTCAAAAAGAGCATTTACGTATGAAAAGGGCCCATATTTTATATGCATTTATTAGGTAATTGAATAATATATTTTCTTGCTCTTTCTTAAATATTTGTATTGATATAGACAATTTAAAATCTTGCTGTATTATTAATCTTGCTTTACATATATTTCCTGTTGCATAACCTAAGTTTGTTTTCTTAACGGCTATCAAAGATGAATTTTCATTAAATATATTAATGATTTCATTATTTGCTAGTTGTTTCTTTTTTTAATATAATTTCTAACCATATTCAAATTTCAATAAGCAAAATAAATTTTAAAAATAATACTCAAAAAGTTCATATGAACCTCTGAAAAGTAGCCTCAGACTCCCGTTACCTTTTAAATAATTTTATAGTAGTTAAAATATTTTTTGTTCAAATAAAGAATAATTTTATATAGAATAGGGTAATCTTTTTTATAAGATAATTATTGGATATTTAAAACCTTTATTATTTTTTATTTTTGCTAAATTGCAAATATTACCTTTGAGGGGATAAATCTTATATTGTTTGTAAAAATTTTATATGTGATTCGATATTAAAATAATATAAAGTAGTTATACATATTTGGTTAAAATATTAACTATTAGAGTTTAGTCCTTAGAAGAAAACTCTATGGCTTGCAAGAACCTCTTGTTCATAAGATACCCAGTCTCCCCAAGGGCTATATTCGGAGGGGGGGGGGGCATTTTCCTCACAGTATGTCAAAAATATAACCTTTCTTTTCCAAAAAAATAGGTTTTAATGGTATTTCAGTATAATATTAATATTTTTTATTATAAAATAAATATAAAATATTTATAAACAAAGTGTGTAATATTGTAATTGTATATTTTTAATTCCAAAAACTAACCCTTCCCTATTTTAAATGGTTCTTAAAACAGCGTATCTAATAGATAGACATTATATTAATTTTGACTAACCGTGTCAAATAAAGATAAAATAATATACAAATTAGTTTAGTAAGCAGAGCAAGAATCAATGAAAAGAGCACCTGGTCAAATAAACCAGTTTTAGTTATTTACATAAAATTGGGGTCATATTATTAATTTTAATAAAAATTAATTTGCTTTAATTAGTAGAAGTACTAATTAAATTTGAAAAGTTGCAGATAAAAATTGGATTTCTGTAGTTAGCGATAGCGCCAGTTTCATGCCTGAGAACAAAGATGATGTGATACCACACTTTTGAACACTATGTCCAACGATTATATCCTGAAATTGCTCAAATCAGCGGGTATGTTTAGCAGTATCCAAGGTATAAAAAAGTGTTACCAGTGTTAATTACTTTAAGTCTTTATTGACAAAATATTTATAGAGGCAATCTAACAAAAAATTAAAAGACTTTGAATAAATATCACCTAAATTGAGCACTCGGTGTAGAAGATTGGAAGGTGATATACGATGGGTATCTTCGCAGTTTTTGGAATAATTGTGACGCATTTCAAAAATTTAACCTAATCTAACAACAGTTTAAAATTTAATGATCAGTCTACCCGATTAGAAAGATATGAATACAGATCCCGCCCATATTTGAATTATCAAATTTGTATTTAAGTTAGAAACAAACATGCAGTTTTCCTAAAGCTGAAAAATCAAAGCTAGGGATTCGAGTTCTACGATAGTTTAAGGGCCTGACCGGTAGGTCCTACTCTTTTATAATTTCTAAATGAATGTTTATTTTATATCTAAAGGAGAACATTTGAGAATGGCTTATGAAATAATTAAATAGGATTAGTAATATTGAAAGAAAACACGACACTCTGCCATCAATGGAAATCAATTTATTACTGCCTAATGGACAATAGTAAATAGCCGATAATTCTATATTATGCCGTTTCATCTATTTAGCTATCTTATCTGATATGAAATATTTAGAAAAAGTTAAAGAGCCGAAGACAAATTACATATGAGGATATACTTGCAAGTTTTATGAAATATATATTTTCTGTTTAGTGAGGATTAAAGTTAATAGGCCTCCTCTCAGCCAGTGGTATTTCTATATACAGTATAAAGTGGCGGACAAGTCATAGTCTGCACGCGATACCTAATCTTGGAAATTGGTTCAAGGAAACCTTCGATTAAGGTTATTGAAAATATTAAAAAAGATTATGGCAAATATTGTGGTCATTCATTCTTTTATTCAATCATTCATTATTTTATATATATTATATTATTAAAACAATGAACAATGTTTTCAACATTATTTTTAATCTACTACTATTTGTGGATTATATTTTAATTATTATATAATTATGAAATGTATTTTAAAAAATTTCGTCATTTTTTAAGCAACACACAACTGGCATTATATATTTCAATTTTTAGATAACTTTCTAATAGTTATTTTATGAAATATAATTGTTTATATAAACTATTATAAAATTATAAAAAATATTTTCGCCTTAAATTCTGGTGAATAGTGTCGTTAAAATGCTAGATTCGGGTTGTTTTTAAAAACTGCCTGATTATGATTATAACTAAATTAACATTATGTAAGCCTAAGGATTTTGTACATGGCAGGCAGAAATGTCTGGACATCTATTTTCTAAATCTCGATGTTTATATAATAATATTTTAGCTAAAATCTTAATCAAGCCATTTTGAAAAATCCACCTAAATCCTTTGAACAACACTATTCGCGAAAAATTTTTTTTGCCTATTTTAGGGTGCCCCTACGTATTTTTTTAGAATAATAGTGTGCCCCCAAATTTTAGGACCTCAGAACTGAATAAAAATCAGCAAATGAAAAAATATTATATATTTAATATGAAAAGACAAGGAGAAGAGTGGCAATATTTGAGGAAAACTATCCAAAAGAGAATGATGAACGTGAACGCCGCATCTCCATTCATAGAGATGCAAGAGAAAACTGCCGATGATTTAATAAAATTAATTCGTCACACCAAATCAAATCAAAATTCGGAAATTAAAGATTTTATAGTTTACCTGCAAAGATGGTCACTGGAATGTAAGTAAGATTATTACTTAACATCCATTGGATATTATTTTAATTTAATGAGGCAAAATTATTATAAGGTTCTAATAACACTACGATTAATTTTAGAGAAGTACCGTTTAAATAAAATTAACATTATAGGAACTTTGTTTATTACATAAAAAGAAAAGCATACTTCAAATTAATCAGATTTTTTGGAATGTTATAAAACCCTAGTTATATTTCAACTAAATATTAGAGTTAGAACCTTATAATAATCAAGAGGAGATACTAGGTTAAAAAATAAATATATGAACCTCCAAACGAGGTGTGCATTGGAAGAAAAATAAAACTAAGGGAATGCAGCGTCTACGTGAGCGGGAGGGGTAGGAACAGTTTGCATCCTATTTTTTTGATGGAGGTAGGGAGGTAGGCGGCTTTAATGGGGCTTATCTATTAAATTTTGAGATAATAGGACAAAATTTATTGCTGTAAAAATTAATGCATTTATTATAGAACTATTATAATAAAATTCATGGACCAAATCTATATATTGCAAACAATCATACACATTGTTTTCCAAATAAAACTTTCTGCTATCGTTTTAAATGTAATTTAAAAGGTTTAGATATTTCAGCAAGCTCATAATGCTATAATAATGAATTAATTGTAAATAATGTAGGTTTTAATTGAATTTATTATCTAAAAAATAAATCCTTTATATTTACAAAATGTAGATAGTTGGTAGTAGAGATAGATTAATTTAAGTTATCCTTTATAAATTCTCTGAAAAGATTATCATTATAATTAAAAAGGTGGAAATAATAATGGGGAAACATGGCCGCCAAAGGCGGTGGGATATTTTTAGAAAGGTAGGTAAAGGTTTTTGAAGGGGGGGGGGGTTCATCCTCTAAAAATCCTGTCATGTAGACGCTGAGGGAATGTAATCATTTTCAGAGTGACCGCCTTCTTATTTTATCACTTTATTAGAAAGATTTGCTTCTAACTGTATTTATATTTTATTTTCTTTTTTCCAATTAATTACCAGCTATAGTATCGGCATTATTGGGCCAAAGATTGGGATGCCTTGAATTGTCGAATAACAACAATAGTACAGAAATGGATCAATTGATTAGCGATACTTGTACCATCTTTGAGTCTCAATACAAGTTAATGATAGGTGTTCCTTGGTGGAAAATATTCCCCACTCCTTCATGGATCGCTTTCATCAACAGTCATGAGAGAATTTTTGAGTATATAAAATTATCATAAATTTGTTTATTATTCGTCGCTTAATTTATTATATAGTTACCATTTCCATTTTTCCAAGAAAGAGAAAACTCTTTTAGAAAAAATAGCATGCTATAAAATAACAACTTATAATCAAAAATTTGTTTCGAAAGTAGAGATGTAACATATAGGTAAAGGTGGTCTGCAAATGACAAAATAGGCCTATCCCGGTTAGGTGAGAATTTACCGAACCTGGCCCTAGCCTGTTTCAATTTTTTACCCAGACCGGTTTCATTTTTCACTAAAGTTGCCTAGCCCAGTTTTTAAAATCCGTGCGGTTTTTTAAAATATAAGGCCTATTTGTAATATTCAGGAGTGGTTAAATTAAAAACACTATACTATCAGATATCAGAATTCATCAATAAGTCTAATACATTACAAATATATCATATTTCTACCAATAATAATTTGACCTTGCTTTGAGATTAATAAAAATAAGAAACCGAATAATAATTTGTCATTCATTATAATTATAAGCCAATAAAAAATATTATTTTAACAGAATTGGGCTTTAAATAATTGTTTTATATTCTCTAATCTCTACTAAGCGGGCTGGATGTCACTATTTTTCTCCACTAGACCCATTAATTTTTTGGCCACCAGCCCAAAAAATCCTAGATAGACCAGGTAGCGGGTCGGGCTGGATATTTCAGACCACGATAGTTAGTTTAAAAGGTGAATTGATATATACCGAGAGATTCCTTGTCCGTCATATTATCCTGAGGTGTTTATATTTAAAAATATAATTGATTTTGTTTTCTTTTTAGATGGATTTATTTATTTTATATTAAAATATGCTATAATTAAAATATATAAATATTCTCAAAATATGACAGGATTTGTAAGAGATATACCCTAAAAACTTTGCGGAAATACAAAGATCCTTTAAATAGTCAAACTTCTAATCATATTAATGCCACACCTGAAAGCTTTGTCTTAAAATTAGCCAGAGAAAAGAATTTGCATTTGGATGACCTTTTAACAACAGTGACAGAACTGATGATATCAGGAATCCAAACGGTAAACGTAAAATAAAACCAGGTTTTTGAGTTAAAATTTAAAAATATAAACTATAGAAAAATATGTGTATATACCAAAAATTGAATAGAGTTCAGCTTATTTTAAGATTTTAAAGCAAAAATAAGATAATATCGTCGGCCTAGAACTGAAGTGCTCCACTTGCGCAAATGTTTAAAATGAGAAAGTCAACATTAAAGTTTAAAATAAAATATAGGAAAAAGTTATTGATTAATTTTGACAATAATTTTGGGAAAAATTAATATTTTTTAATCTAGTTTTTATTTTTATATATATTGGGAATAAATAAGTATTATCCACTTCTAACTCAAAAATTTTGAATTTTTAAAATGAGAAAATCATCATAGTTTAAAATAAAATATAGGAAAAAGTTATTAACATCATTTAATCTAGTTTTTATTTTTATATATGTATATATTAGGAATAAATAAGTTATTATCCACTTCTAACTCAAAAATTTTGAAAATATCGAGTGATGATCTTTTAGATCAGTTAGTTAGTGACTTCCACCCACGAGGAACTCTAATGATGTTCAAATTGTGGTTAACCCAATTTATCTGATAAAATTTTAAACTTAAGACAAAATGAAAAAGCTTAGTGAATACAAAATTTCCTAAAAAAATATTATATGAAGAACAAGTTTGTATTAAATAAAATTTATACCTTTTATTATGATTTTGCTTTTTGTTAAAATTGGCGAAATAGAATTACAAAAAAAAATTTATGTTGAAATTTTAGTTTATTCAAAAAATGTAATTAAAATTGTTAAAGACGCGTTTATAAATGGTAAATTGTTATAGGCCAAAGTTACTTTTTTAAAATAGTTACAAATAAAGTTTTAGAAACTAGAAATTTAACAATAATAATATAATCAAAGAATAATATAGACTAAAATGTTAAACACCACTTGGTGGAAAAATAGTTGTGTTGTTAATATAGAGGAACTTTAACTACGAGTTATATTGTATCTGTGATTTTTGGACATGTAACCATAAATGTAAACCAGTTATATTTAAAATTTTTATTTTATAATATCTTAAATAAAAAGTAATAGTTTAATATGTTTGTTTTATACTATTCTTATAATGTTAACTTATTATTTAAATTAAATTTTATTTAAAATAAATCATATTTGTTTCTTTCCTGCCATTACATTGAAAATAAAATATTAAGTAAATAATTTTATTTCATATTTTTGTATTTTTTTTAGTGATATTTTCAATTTAAAAATGGAATATTATAATTATTTTATCAAAATTTTATTTTATTGAAATAATCAGTAAGCATATTTTAATTAGGAATTGGATTACCCATAATAGAGGATCGGGATTGTTACTAATTATTTTCGAGATAAATTGTCTTTTTTTATAACTTTGTTTATTAATCATTTATTTTTCATACTAAATATATTAAATTTGTATTATATAATTTAAATAAAATATCCATGATCAATCATGGGGTCTTAAATTAATTCCCTTACTACATTGTTTGCAGTAAGATTAAGATTAATATTATAAGGGATTAATTTTAAAAAAATATTCACTTTATTCTAACATAAACCTTAACCTACTAGAATTTAAGAAGAGAATATTTTAAAATTAAAATAAAGAATTCATTCTTTACAAACTTATTTATTACAATCAACAAATAAAACCTTTAGGCCATGTTCTAGGGTCGGTTAAATTGTCAGAAAAGCAAAGGAAAATTTTTTTTTTAAAAAAAGAAAAAAAACCAACAAAAACATAAAACCCAATAAAAACGAAAAAAATAAAAAAACGGGAATACATATGAAAAATAACAATGCCACCATATATTTAAGATAAGGCAAAATAGGGTGCCCTCGTTCAAATACTTTTTAGCCTATAATAAAAAGCAATTAAGTATCTAAATTAAGCCTACCTAGGACACATCCTTATGGTTAGGATGCTATGTTAATCACAAAAGCAATCGTGAGAAATTTGTCGAATTTGAAAATAATTTACAACAAAAACAATATATTGCAGCTTTCTTTATCAAGTACACTAGCCAACGATAATAGACTAATTGATTTTTAGAAAGTTTTAGCAAATGGAATGAAGCAAAAAAATATCTACCATTTTGGTTTGGTGGAAAACTAAAATTCTCAATTCGTTGAAGACCTTTTTAAACTAAAAAACATTCGCATATTATCATTTATCACAATATGTGCTCATCATCGAGATGGATATCGAGAATTTTTGGAATTTCTTTTGTGGGGCATGCTATCATATTTTTATTTTTAGAGTGTTAAAATAGCCCCTTTTCAGAATTAATAAATGTAGCTTCGTGTTTCTTTTTTGTTTCTTAGCACCCAAATCAAATTTGATTCCTCATCCCATTTTGATTATTGTTATGAAATAAAAGATTATATGGCGTCTCCTAAAAAAATTCTCTAAACAGTATTTTTATTTTAATCAAGTTTGTCAATTTACAAGGGCCTGAAACTAAAATATTATATAATATGTATATATTAAATTAAACATTTAATAATCGAATCTGTCTTAATAAAAATAACTCAATCTAGATTAGAATAATTTAAAGCTCGCCAACCGAAGGGTCTATGTATTTAATGAAGACCATGGTGTAAAAATCTTTATTTTATAGACTGATCAGAATATCTATAATGTGCAGTGATGTAATATCGCCTTGTTCAGCCTAATCGGATCGACCTTGGAGCGTGAGCCAAAAAATTTGTTCAGCCCAAACTGAAAAAATCGGCTCAGCCATGAACTCGAAATCTGTGTATTATCGCTCAAAATTGGAACTTAATAAATTATTATACTTTTATATTATATTTGACTAATTGAATAATAAGGATGGGTATAGTGTTGCCTTTATTAAATTTATATGGAATATACCTACCCTATAAACATAATTTTGGGTTTTTATAAATTTATTCTATTTTCCTATTTTGTTTTAAATTTCTATGGAGAATACCTACCCTTATAAACATATTTTTACGTTTTTAAGAATTAACTGTATATAATTTTAAAATCCAAATTGTTAATTACCTCTTTCTATTTGATTTCCTATTCTTAAATTTGTTATGTTTTAATGATAAAAAGTCTGGATATTAGCCTCCATAATTATTACTGTTGTTAAAAGGCTCGTTTTGAGCCGATTTTTAAAAACGGCTAACCCAATATTTTAGCTAGAAAAGGTTGCCTAAGCCTCGAGATTTCTTTAATAGATATCCAATCTTATGTGTCATATATAAGAAAAATCTTGCGTAATATTTTTTGGATTTAATATTGAGTTAGCCCTTTTCAAAAATGGGCTTAAAAGAGTCGTTTAACAACACTAATAATTATATAGAATTTTTATAAATTTTAAAATGATAAAAACAATCATCATTAAAAAAAAAATGTTTCCGTTGACATCTTCAAACATTAATAATTTTAAGTTTTATTACTCTTTATTTATTACTACATTAAATAAAATAATATTAAAATTAACATATCAAATATTAAATTAAATAACATTATTTTATAAAAACAGAGGTGGGACTACAAGTTCCCAAAAAACATGAATAGTTATATATAAAATAGTTATTTGTAGATTTTGTTTTAAAAAATAGTATTCTTTTGGTTCTGATGTAAGGGCTCTTATCTTATCGCCTATATTTTTTAAGAATTTTAAAGTTCCGCTTGGCATATGTCCAAGGGAAGAGATAACGATTGATGTAAAAATATAATTTGTGAATTTGGAATATTTCATTGTTTTTTTTCTCGGCTATATCAACCGGATAAATTTTTTGGGAAAGAAGATACGCATGTGAAGTCTCAATTAAGTATTTCTCTAAAGGCCAAGGCACAGAAATTAATACATCTGGTCTTAAGCCATCATCTAATGATAAATTTGTAGGCTATAGGATGTTTGGTATTCGGACCCTGGTAAGAGAACGGCTAATAGCTAAATTGCCTGCCTTGACTTTATACAATTTAGACTATGTCTCCCTTTGGAGTCAACTAATATTTTACATTTGATGCATGTATGTGGTTGAACAATGTTACATCCAAGTTGATGGCCTATGGCAACTCTTAATTGTTCATCTGATAAGAGGTTACCTAGGTTACGACTTGGTAATGCTTCCAACCATTCATGACCACTAGTACAGTCAGATTCTGAAATAGTTAAATATACTCCAAAGAGGGTTTTGATGAGATTATTTTAAAAAAATTTTTAATTAAAGGTTCGATAATAGATTGGTGTGTTAAGATTGTGGGTAAAACAGCTTCAGGTGGAGCTAAAGATACCCAAGCTAACAAGGCTGAGTTTAAAAGGTTATCTTAAGAAGAGATAAAAGAAAATATCATGGCGTTATTCATCAAACGCGATGCCAAAAATGAGGAAAAAGATATAAGATTTAAAGGATATAAATCTAAACCACCCATTTTTGAGGGTAATTGTGAGAAGCCCCAATTAAAATCTTCCAATTTAATATTTAAAATATTTTCTAATAAACTTCTAAAAAATTCATGAACACGATTAATAATTTCATTATTTAAAAAAAAGGAAGAAGATCTAAAAATATGTAAAATCTTTGATAAAAATAAATATTTTTTTAAAAGAAAAAAGCTCTGGTGTGAAGGAATTTATTTTAAAATATTTTCAAGTCCTAATAAACCTTCGAAAAATTTTTCCACGAACACCTCACAGTTGGAAAAACTGCTTAAAGGTAAACCTAGAAGATTAATTTCACTTTTTTTAATGATTTTAAACCCTTGGACTTCGAGAGTATTTGAATTTAAAAAGCATATTTCAGATTTAGCTTTATCTAGAGTAAGGCATATGTTAAGAGAATTCTTCCCTATATATTCTATCGCTGCAAGAATATTTTTAAAGGTCCGCAAATGGTACCATCATTTAGATACCATATGTTTAAATCTAAATTAAAAAAGTATTTTAGACAATGAACTAGGTTATGTATACCTAAACTAAAGATCAGAGGGCCCAAAGGGTCT